CAATTTTTAATATAACTCCGACTGGATTCGTCTGAAAGAAGAAAGTCATATACACCTAGGATGACTTGAGGGTGAAAAATTTCTAATTTAGAAACGGTTACTATTTCCATGACGTCGCTGGAACAAAAACATACAAACTATATGACAGTAGATAATCTAAGGTGATTATGTGCTTTATTCAAAGTTAAACGTGTCCAAGATGAGTTTAAATATAATTTTGTGTGACCTTATAGCCATACTGAAAGCAACAGATAGTTTACCTCAGATCTTAAAAATAAATTAAAGCAAAGATGTCCGTTAAAACTGTGAACTCACTGCGAACCAACGAATGTATTCCATAACAAAGATGTTATCAGTCACTCAGTATGTACATTTAATGATGTTAAAAAGCTTTAATATTTATGAATTATATTATAAACGTATCCATATCGTTGCGAGTGCAGTGTGCTTCCAGAGAGAGACCGTCCACACACTCTTCTGATTGGCTGTGATATTTGATTGATTCTGTCACGTTGCGTCGCGTCTGGTGTGGACACCCAAATTGCTTGTCGCTGGAATCTTGTCGCGTCGCGTGTAGTTAGGACACGGTGTTATAACATGTATAACTTATGTAATACATTTTAATAATACTTATAATTTAATAATTTGTGCATTTAGCAGACGCTTTTATCCAAAGCGACTTACAGTGCATTCAGGTTATACATTTTTTACCAGTATATGTGTTCCCTGGGAATCGAACCCATGACCTTTTGCGCTGCTAACGCAATTCCCTACCACTGAGCCACAGGAACATATTTAATAGATAGATGTATATCTAAAAGAATCTAAAAAATTAAAAAAAACAGTTTAGCATTTTAAATATCAAGCCACAGTTATGTCAAGATATTGACATATATAACAGTAATTGAAAGGTCAGCCTTTTGACAGGAGTCCTGAAATACAACAGCATGCTTGAGCCCATCGCCACATAATCATACATTTTCCTAACATTCCAAACAAAAGTCCTTTCCGATCATGTAAGACATTCCATTAATTAGTTTTTCCTCTTATCCTCTCCTCCAACTTCCTCTCCACTCAACAGCAGGAGCTACAAATAACGAATGGAGAGCTTTAATGTCTGAACTGAAGATTCTGATCCATATTGGTCATCATCTCAACGTGGTCAATCTGCTCGGAGCCTGCACAAAGCGTGGAGGTTAGAGGAAGCTGATGGAGAGAATTCAACAATGGTGATATGAGAAATTTGTACATTTTTTGAAACTTTTTCTTCTGTTTTTACATTTGTTTGGTGTACGCTCAGGTCCGCTAATGATAATCGTGGAATACTGCAAGTATGGAAATCTTTCCAACTACTTGAGAAGTAGGAGGGGTGACTTTGTGGTATACAAGGTAAGCAGAAAAGTCTTATAAAACTTTAAATTGTTCATTTAAGCAGTGATTTGCCATGATGACGCATGATATTGACCCGGAATGTATGCTGATAATATCCACAGTCTCAGGACGTTAAGGCTCTGCGTTCCAGCTCCGGGTGTGATCTGAGCGAGCTCATCAAGCGCAGGTTGGAGAGCGTGGCCAGCACCGGAAGTTCAGCCAGCTCTGGCTTCATTGAAGATAAGAGCTACTGCGACTCGGAGGAAGAGGAGGAAGGTAGCGACTGAGTGTCTTCCTTCCCTTCTCCCCTCCTCCCTCTCAACTCCTCACCTCCAACCCCACCCTCTCTGCTCTCAAGGCTACGCTGATTGTTTTTTCCCCCTTAGTCTGATAGGTGGCTTCCTCAGGGATTCAAAAATACAACTGATATTTTGTACGAGCCACTGTCACCCACTGCGTGCAGAGCTTTTTCTAATTTCCTGCCCCAAGACCAGAGCTAGTCCGCTGCGGGTACATTGGGTCGTGCTGTCCCATGCCGGTTATTTCTGGTTTGATAAACTGTTTACTCAGGTGGATGATCCACCCACAAGCCCCTCACTTGAGTATCATTGACAAAGTGCACGTCGCAGTCTGCATCTAAAAAAAGAAGTCCGGTTTCATTGTGTCTCCCTGTCGGATGTGTCTGTAGTAAACAGGAGAATTATGAAGGCAAAAATATTACAACTTTATTAAGGGATTGAGAGAGGATTCAAACTTTACAGATTTGTAGACAGCACAGATTTGTAGTAAAAGAGATTCTTGGAAATTCTGTTCATTTTTTTGCCTGCCAAAACTTGCATAACAAAACAATGGTTTTGATTTAGCTAATAGCCTTTTACCCTTTTCTTGCAGAGCAAGAGGATTTGTATAAGAAAGTGCTCACACTAGAAGACTTGATTTGCTACAGCTTTCAAGTGGCTAAAGGCATGGAGTTCTTGGCTTCAAGAAAAGTAAGAGTCACACTTTCTCAGGATTTCATGAAAAATAGCTCTAACCCTTGCAATGAATCATTGTATTCTTAGTTTGTAATGGCAGCCCATTGTAATACCAATTTCCTTTTTAAATAATTTTCTGGCTCGTAATGTTTTACATTAATAATCAATCTCTGTATTTTGGCAACACTTTGAGAAGTTTTGTCTAAAACTCCAGAATATGAAAACCCAAATTACTTTATTGATCCAACACACTCATTCACACACATCCAGCAGATGAGATTAATTGCCACATACTAAAGATGCGGTTTAGCATATGTGGTTTAATCTCACCTCAGGTCAGAGTTTCCCCGATGGCAATTCCATATGTTTTACATTATCACAGCTTTCCATCATGTGCTTCATCTGACAGCGTAATGCCACACATGGTTCAAATAAGACACAAAACGCATCTTCACTACACTCCCTTTCCCTGCTCAAGACACTGAGGGTAGAAAGAATATACAATTATATCTTGCTATTACAATAAACTGATAGATGATGTATGGTAGAACATAATGTAATGGGATCTCTCTTTTACTTCTACAAGTGTATTCACCGTGATCTGGCCGCACGTAACATCCTGTTGTCTGAAAACAATGTAGTGAAGATTTGCGATTTTGGACTTGCAAGAGATGTATACAAGGACCCAGACTATGTCCGCAAAGGAGACGTAAGTGTGGAAGATTATCCAATTACTTCATATCGGTCACGGATACATGGTGCAGTCAGGCTGTATAATACGCAGTGTTTCAAAACTACTTAGTGTGATGGACGCAAATGATAACGGTCCAAAAACCACCGAAACTGTGAATATTCATCTGGAAAAAGATCAAATGTTTCTGTTAATGCCAAGAGTCTTTGGCATGCTGTTAGTCATTTTATAAGCCCTGATAATATTATTCTGGTCAAAGGATGTTTTCTTCTGGTCAAGTGTGAGCCAAGACGTCACACAGATAGTATAATCAAATAGACAGCGTTTTATAAGCTACACGTTGTTGAATTTAATTTAATATTGGGAGTTGTTCGTTTACAGGTGAGAGTAACATGATCTGCTTATCTTTTTATAGGCCAGACTTCCCTTAAAGTGGATGGCTCCAGAGGCGATATTTGACAAGATCTATACCACTCAGAGTGATGTGTGGTCTTTTGGAGTGCTTATGTGGGAGATCTTCTCTCTTGGTAAATACCATCGCTGTCTTAAGAGCGTAACTCACATTCCTTTTATTCACCTATTCATTGGAGACACACACAGCACTGTTGCAACACTCCATGAACTTGTAGTAATTAAAAGAGTTTAAAATACTCTCTAATGTTTTATTTTATATTGACTGTTAACACAAACAATCTTGATTTGATATTTTGGGGAGATTCGATTATGAAACGATCAAAGAATAATTTCAAGCTTTTATGATTTCAGGCGTTCAGTTCTTGGAACAATGTTTTCTGCTCTGATGTTTTCCATGAAACAAAGTGTCGGCTTTTCCTTCCTTTCTTCTATAGAGAGGTCTCGTAGACTTTGTTTGTTTGCTTTACTGGTTCGGTGCATTTTACACCAACGCAAAGAGCCCAGACAGGATTCAGCACCCATTTCAAAGTTAAACACATGGAGTAGGAAGGCAACTCAGTACATGCTGTGCTTCATCCAAATGGAAATAAAACGAACTCGAGGGTACTCAATCAAAGACACCTGGCACAAACCAGGCTGCTCATGAGGTGCCCTGTGCTTATCAACCTCCTCCAGATGTGGAGGGCAATAACTGTCAGCTGCTGTTAAAATTTCCTTTGGGAACAAAAAAGGATTGCATTGTCAGCTTGAAAAAAACAATTTTCATTCCACTAGTGCAACAACATCTGTGAACTTCAATGGTGTGTTTTTTAATCATAAATAGAGGTTGTAAAACAGGAGAAATCATCTTCCATTTGATCAGGTTTCATTCCCAACTGGAAATGTAAACCCACAGTTACCAGGCAGCATTTAATGAAAATGTACTATAACCTTTAATGGTTTGTGCAGTGTCGCTTTGGCACCTTTGTCATTAAAGGCTCTGAGCAAACAACTTTAATGTGACCATTCATATATGTATGTATTTAGAATTTTTTTATTACAAATTTCTTTAGGATGATTCCAAGGGCCCAGCGAGGGAGAGGGGACCCAAATCAGTAATATGTAGAAATAAAAAATGTTGCAGAATTTTGCATAACACAATGCAAAGCTTTTCACAATACTAAGTAACCACTAAATTTTATATTTAAATGACTAACATTCTAGATTATTAAAGTGGTTTCAGACTTTTGCACCCTCGTATGAATGCATTTTTAAAGATTTGCCTTTTAAATGCATGTTGAATGAACTAGAAACCACAGTAAAATTCCCCCAAATCTATATTCACACTGGATGCAATGAACACAATAGTGGGAAAATAGTAGGCCGTCATTTTGCATGTTAAAATAATGCAACATTTAGGAAAACACAATATAAATAATCCATTATCAGTGATATTGAAGGAATAGGATCTTAACTGATGACTCTGAGCTGTCACAACCTCTGAGCTGCACTGATTTAAGTTGGTGTCAAATAGACTAACACGAAAAGTTTAGAAAAATTATTATTGCTACTTGATAGTGTCCATGGGAGAAAAGTTTCCACCCGCACCCAAAGTACACTCTCATGTTTTGTATTGTGGAATTGAATTTCTTGTTCCTGTTTTTCTAGGCACTCCACATCTACTGCACTCTATTCCCAAAGTCACAGGAGATTTTCAAGTGCTGTTAATGTATTTGTTTTTAATGACTACCTAATCTATGTCAGAGGGGGGTTTAGATCATAGTTTAATGAAAGATTGACCTTTTCTGAGATCCGTTGTTATGATCTGCATATTTTAGTGGTTATCAGATATTATTAAAAGGATTTCAGTCAAGTAAATGAAAATATTATTTCATGAATCATGGTTTTTGCAAGTGTGCACCAAAGTCTCAACAGTCTGCAAATTCACGCTGTCTTAATAATTTAGTGTTTCTGGAGAAAACAGCTTTGCACAGACTTTGCAAGTACAGTCAGATAGGCCCCACTGATGCTGATTGTGCAGAGGTCTTTCCATTGATCTCTCTGTGCTCCCAACCCACATCACAGTTTAGTGAGTTTCTTGTAAGACCCTTTGAAGTGGCCAGAGCTCTATTTCATGGAAAAGTCTTGATAACCCCATTATTCTCTTTCTTCTCCCCAGGTGCCTCCCCTTACCCTGGCTTACACATTGATGAGGAATTCTGCTGCCGACTAAAGGAGGGCACCAGGATGAAAGCTCCTGAATACTCCTCCTCTGAAATGTAAGAGTCGCTCTGCTTGTGTCACTAATGTCAGGCAGTCCTGATTTGAAAGCAGTTTGTCAACTATACATGCAATTGTTGTGTAACAGTTGCCATATTGAGTATTGCAGGCACTAAGTACTTTTTAAAGTATTAGTGTCACAAATCCTTTATTTTGATTGTGAGAAATGTGTTAGATAATATGTTAATATGTTAGATAAACTATTATGTAACAGAAAATTAATCTAGCATAAACACATGCCTGTCCCACCTCGACTGTCTCCAACAATAACAAACATGCAATGTGATAATTTTCACACAAGATGTTGAGTTAATATTTAATTTATTGTAGAAAAACCTATTTTTATTTACATAAATTATAGTATTGATAGCATACACCAGTATCAACCTGAAACCCTGTTACTCATTATGTTGTAAGAAAACATTATTTGTATAAAAGTATAACAATATAAAAAATATACATTACATTATATATTTGCATGCCTGTGTCCTATTCCAGCACATGCCATTGTACCCAAACGTATACATGAAAAATCTTTAAGGTATTTATTTTTTGAAATGTCTCTAAGCAAGTTCCTTCTGTCTGATCCCAGGACTTTTAAACAAACTTGAAGTAATCCCAAATCAAACCTCACCCATCTCTGTAACCCCCTACAAAACTCTTTAGGGTTATTAGCTGAAATCTGAACTCTGGGGAAAGAAAATCCTCTCCTATCGATACAGTTGAAATGAGCAGAAATATCAAATTGTATTGCTTTGACACAAGACTGAAGCCTTAAATGGAAACAGATCAATTATTCGCTGAGCAAAAGGAAAGGAGCAGCTTCTGATTGGCAGCTAGTTTATAGTGCAGTTGATGTGTGCTAGGGATCCATTACTGACTTACACCAATCCAGCTGAAACTCAAGCTAACATTAAAGGCTCCAGTCTACCTAGGCAGCATGGAGTGGCCAAACACAGTGGCAGGGCCCCTGGGCATCAGACAGGGAAACCCACTGGCAAGATACTCCCATTGTGGTTACAGGGTTAGAGAGCAAGCCAAACCAAAATCTGAAAGTTTTCAGATATAACAAGATATGAGAGTAGAGGTCATGGTATCAGTTTTAAATGTGGAAAGGAAATGAAGCGGACAACTTCAGATTAGTGTTGCTTTTAAATGGGTGTGGAGAACTGAATCGCCTCAGTTTGAGAGAGAATATTCACTGCCTGTTCTCAATAACAACCCCTACTGCTGTCTACGAAGTGCTCTACTCAATCTTCGTTTCAAAACTATGGGCTCGTTCAGGATGGTAATTCATATCTGATATTCTATAACTATATCATATCCACTGTCTCAAGCACTTATGTTTAAAACATTGCATGTAATGCACGTTGTCTCACATTTGCAATCACACACGCCAATTGAACATAACAAGAGGTCATGAAAGATTGTGATTGGAGATGACCTACAAAATGCAGTACAGACCTCAGACCTGAATTGAATTCGGCCCTCATAAATACAGCCTTTCTGGTGACAAGTCCTCAAAACCCAAAAGTGTTTCCGTTCAGCTTCAAAGAACTTGTCAACTAGCATTGCAGATAAGGGTCAATTTAATATACTGTATCAACTGTAGCACTGATAACACTGTTCTTCAAGAGAGCAGAGAATTTGATCAAGTTATATGCTGTCCTCAGGGTTAAACACTACTTTATTTCTGACCCTGACCAAACCTACACTGTATTGTGAGTGATGAGAAGAAAGCTCATAAAACAGGGATTTGACCGGGTAGAATCTCATCTGTCTAGACTGATTCACCCATTTAATGATAAACTGATTCCCACTGTCCCACAGGCTCATAATTATTCAATACACTGAACTAAACGCCATTGGCTGTCATTAATGTATTTTCCATTTACATTTCCATAAGTGGGAGCACAATTTGAGAGGATATAGAACATCCTGGTTTTATCGTTGATTTCAGAGGAACCACCATTTGCCATTTTTCTGGACTTCCTGTTAGTTTAAGGAGAGCTCCATCTGGATTCATTAAAATAACCATTTTAGAAGTTTTACTTCCTCCTGCTAATCTCCTTCACAGCCCATGAGAAGAATACCTCCTCTCTGATCACTAACATATTCAAACCCAGATGGATATATTAGTTGATTAGTGTAAGGAAGTAATGAGTCATCAGCTAGTACAGTATTTTTTCCATACTCCAAATTGCCCAGTGTTGTGCTAATCAGACGGGATCAGAGAGTTTCATGGGTAACGGGCTTTATTTATATAAGGACAACACCATAGTATAAACAGGATACAGCTCAATCATCGTCAGTGATCATTTACTTGAATGCCTGCTCGGTGCATTGACGCCCCAGTGTTTTACAACTGAAACTTAGCCTTCAGATAAACGCAACCATTATAGGCCAATAAAGGACCCCAGACGTCCCTTCTGGGGAGAGATGCTGACAGCTTGTGTAAATCAGGAGGAAGTTCCTCTCAACACAAACTCTCACCCTGAGAACGGTGCAATGAAAACACTCAGCCTCACTCCTTGTGTCACGCATCAAATATTATTGATGACTGTAAATAATTGGATAAGCCGGATTTGCAGAGTAATCTAGAGGTCAAGGCACAGGGTGTAATTCATGAGGGTTTATGTAGCTGCAGAAGAATTGCAATTTATGATTATGGTCTACTAATCACTCTGTATGTTCAAAGGAAGTTCTTTAATGTATGCATGTTTCTGTCCATAGATATCAAACCATGTTAGACTGCTGGCATGGAGAACCATGCAAGAGGCCCACTTTCACAGAGCTGGTAGAGAGGCTAGGAGATCTGCTACAAGCTAGTGTACAGCAGGTAAGAGAGTCTCATTCACTTCATTACATTTCATGTCTTTCCCACAGACTTTATTTAAATGTTTACTGTTTAAACTCTGACCACAGCAAAACCACAAAAATGTTATGGGATGAAAGATGCACTACCATTACACAGGCAAAACCATGTTAGCCTGTCACTGCAAACTGTGTTTAACAACTAGTCATAGATGAAAGGTGAATATTTTATGAATGTGATGAATGGAAAGATTTAAAGTGAGTTTGGAGTGACTGTAAAGGAAATTTAAGACAAGCAAAGTCACTCATGAAGAGAAATACATGTGTACACATTCAAAACTTTGGGCTTGGTAAGATTTTTTAATATTTTGAAAAAAGTCTGCTCACCAAGGCTGCTTTTATTTATCAAAAATGCAGTAAAAACAGTAATATTGTGAAATATTATTACAATTTCAAATAACTGTTTTCTATTTGAATATATTTTAGTAGGAATATTAATAGTCATTATTCCTGTCATCGCTGAATTTTCAGCAGTCATTGCTCCAGTGTCACAGTTTACTTCAGTGTCACATGATCCTTCAGAAATCATTCTCATATGCTGATTATTGTTATCAATATTGAAAACAGTTGTGCGGCTTCATATTTTGATCATTTGTTTTCAGGATTCTTTGATTAATATTTATTTGAAACAAATATTTTGTAACATTGTATTTATTCAATTTAATGCATCCTTGCTGAAAAAAAAAAAGAATTTATTTCAAAAAAATCTTGACCCCAAATGTTTGAACAGTAGGGTACAGTATGCTACAGCAAATACAGGCATAGACATAAAAATGTATTTACATACACAAATCCTTAGATATCCAAACAAGAGAAAAGTAGGTAAAAATCTACAATTTGTGTTAAACATTTGATGGTGCAGTATGTCCTGATAAATTTTTCTTAGGTCAAGAAGAAAGTAAGGGATGAATCTGATTTATAATATGACTTGAAGAGAAGTTATGGTCTCAGTAAAAGACTACACTACACAGCATAGAGATCAAAACATATTCCAAGCCATCAGAATTGGAAGTCATCCAAACTCCCTCTTTCTCACATAAGGAATCAAGCTTAGTGTACTGCCCAGACTGCCCCTAATAACATCATCTCCACAAAAAATATTCACACATTCCCTTGCAGATTTATGTACAGATTCCTCCAGAATCCTATAAAACCATATGCAGGGTGATGTCACAATTTTAAAATGAGCTGAGTATTTAAACACTTTGTCTCTCTCAGGAGGGAAAGCACTACATCCCAATCAACACAGCCCTATTGACCAAAGCAGACCCCTCAAACATGAGCCCCACAGAGGAGACCTCCACCAGACCTGCCTCTCTTAGAGACTCTGGGACGGCTTGGTAAGATAGCTTTATCATATCCATATAACGGATATAGGCTCAGACTGATTTGTATTTGTACTTCAGTTGTTAAAAATCACTCCGAATGCTATTATTCATGAGGACTATTTAAAGCTTTTTAGAAATTTGGGGCTGGAATGTAGATGCCACAATTGTCATACAGTTTCTCTCCCCCCATCTCCACACGACTCCAGCCACTACCCCTTTTCTTTGAGAGACGTGCCTGCGCGAGAGTCTCTCAGACAATGGCACAGCGGAGAGATATTGCCTAAGGTGACAATCTCAACAGCCAGGCTGGGTGTGTGACTAGTTAAAGCTGGCTGTAAGGTCTGGTGACTTGCATCTTTGTTTGTACCGCCTGGGTTGTAATGGCCTCTGAGTCCATCGCTGAAACAGCACGGCTACAGATATGGCACATGGCCATCTCATACAATAACATGCATTTATTTTATTTTAGGAAGTATTTGATAGAATGAGTGTTTATTATTGTTAGTGATCGCAATATATTCCATTTAGGGTTCTAGTATTTTTGCTACAGGATGTAAGCTGTGACTAAAGCTTAATATTTAATGACTAATAAAAAAAAAACAGGATCTCCTTAAAAACACGGTCAGTTTCAGTGAAGGTGGCCTTTTAAGTTATTAATGGCAGGCCATTGGGGTGGATTAGCCTTGGTTTTGTTAAAGCGTTTGAGATCTGAGACGCCGTTTATGGTCTTCCAGTCCAGCAAAGGCCAGGGCTAATCTACAAAGGTTATCCTCTAAATTGCATTTAAAGCCTTGTGGACTATACAGCATCCTAATATTTGAGGGCAGCAGTTTGTACCACCAATTGCAGCTAGACAAATAGTGATAATCTCTTACTGATTGGAGGTTTATGACTCAGACCTTAGAAGTGTTCAGTCTAAATATGTGATTGGCATTAGATAAGGGCATCTGAGTACAACAGTGGTTACACCCAAATGCCAGAGCTATATTATATGATCTTCATCTATACAAGGATCTTATTTAAGCATATAATGTGTCTTGTAAAATAGAAAAAAATCTATACTACCACTCAAATGTTTGGGGTTGGCAAAATAAAAAAATAAAAAAAAGAAATGAATATTTAATATTTAAATTCAATCGAATCAAAATTCGCTCAAAAGTGACAGTAAAGACATTTATATTTACATAAAATGCAGTAATGGCCACTGCAAAATCCAATAAATTCATAATAAATTCATGAAAATTAAGCTTTACCATTACCACAATAGATTACATTGCAAAATATTTAAAAAAATATTCTAAAATAGTTTTTACAAATATTTTAAAATAGATATTTTACATTTAAATATCATTTCACAATAAACAGCTGTCTATATAGCTGTCTTTACTGTATTTTTGATCAAATAAATGCAGCCTTGGTGAGCATAAGAAACTTCTTTCAAAAATCTTATCAACCCCAAACTCTTGAACAGTAGTATATAGACGAAGTATTTTTTGAAGTCAACTTGTCATTATCAAAAAATAATCCCCAACATGGAGCAATTATTTTATAAGAAAAAAAGTCCACTACAGCGTGCAAAACAGCAAGCCAAGCAACAAGATTACACTACAACAATATTACAGTAATATTAGTACTAAAGCCCTCTGAGGTCATTTTAACTGTAATCAAAAACATGAGATGTGAGCGAGTCCACAACTTGATACAAGACACACGAAAGTAGCGCCAAACATCTGACCACCGAATGCTGAGATCAACCAATCAGATTCAAGAGTTCTAGAGAGCTATGTAATAAGTTTTAATAACACCACACCACACTGGCATTTTTAAATTCTTCTACTGCTGTGATTGATGAGCCAAGTTTTATTACAAATGAACGTAATCAACAGGTTTTGGTTAAAAACACTCTGTCAGCACTCCCCCGTCTTCCATGTCCAGTGCCCTCCTCATCCCAACCCGATATGATGAAAAGCTGGGCACAGCCTGCAACCAACTGGCAAATCCATGCAAATCCAGATTGCCATGGTCACAGGCATGGGAAAAAAGAGCCACTCCGGAGCATGTAGAGAATGATGTATATATTGTAAAGAGGCGGCCCCTGACGCCGTTTATGGTCTTCCAGTCCAGCAAAGGCCAGGGCTAATCTACAAAGGTTATCCTCTAAATTGCATTTAAAGCCTTGTGGACTATACAGCATCCTAATATTTGAGGGCAGCAGTTTGTACCACCAATTGCAGCTAGACAAATAGTGATAATCTCTTACTGATTGGAGGTTTATGACTCAGACCTTAGAAGTGTTCAGTCTAAATATGTGATTGGCATTAGATAAGGGCATCTGAGTACAACAGTGGTTACACCCAAATGCCAGAGCTATATTATATGATCTTCATCTATACAAGGATCTTATTTAAGCATATAATGTGTCTTGTAAAATAGAAAAAAATCTATACTACCACTCAAATGTTTGGGGTTGGCAAAATAAAAAAATAAAAAAAAGAAATGAATATTTAATATTTAAATTCAATCGAATCAAAATTCGCTCAAAAGTGACAGTAAAGACATTTATATTTACATAAAATGCAGTAATGGCCACTGCAAAATCCAATAAATTAATAATAAATTCATGAAAATTAAGCTTTACCATTACCACAATAGATTACATTGCAAAATATTTAAAAAAATATTCTAAAATAGTTTTTACAAATATTTTAAAATAGATATTTTACATTTAAATATCATTTCACAATAAACAGCTGTCTATATAGCTGTCTTTACTGTATTTTTGATCAAATAAATGCAGCCTTGGTGAGCATAAGAAACTTCTTTCAAAAATCTTATCAACCCCAAACTCTTGAACAGTAGTATATAGACGAAGTATTTTTTGAAGTCAACTTGTCATTATCAAAAAATAATCCCCAACATGGAGCAATTATTTTATAAGAAAAAAAGTCCACTACAGCGTGCAAAACAGCAAGCCAAGCAACAAGATTACACTACAACAATATTACAGTAATATTAGTACTAAAGCCCTCTGAGGTCATTTTAACTGTAATCAAAAACATGAGATGTGAGCGAGTCCACAACTTGATACAAGACACACGAAAGTAGCGCCAAACATCTGACCACCGAATGCTGAGATCAACCAATCAGATTCAAGAGTTCTAGAGAGCTATGTAATAAGTTTTAATAACACCACACCACACTGGCATTTTTAAATTCTTCTACTGCTGTGATTGATGAGCCAAGTTTTATTACAAATGAACGTAATCAACAGGTTTTGGTTAAAAACACTCTGTCAGCACTCCCCCGTCTTCCATGTCCAGTGCCCTCCTCATCCCAACCCGATATGATGAAAAGCTGGGCACAGCCTGCAACCAACTGGCAAATCCATGCAAATCCAGATTGCCATGGTCACAGGCATGGGAAAAAAGAGCCACTCCGGAGCATGTAGAGAATGATGTATATATTGTAAAGAGGCGGCCCCTGCCGAGGACCCACTCAATCACTGTCACCTTTGACCTTCTACAGCTTTACTGCTACGTCCAAGAGTCTCCCTCCACATTGTGCCTCTGGATTCCACCTGGTACTCCCACATTTAGTATGCACATATGTGAAGTGCTTGGCACTGACAGCTCTGCTTCACACTGTGTACAGATCCCAATACATGCCAATCTGTTTTGCAGTGGTATTTACTGCAAATTATCGCCCCTGTAGACTAAAAGCAATGCAAACTCACAGACTCCCTCCAGGGTGTCTGTCCCGTTGACCCCAGATGAAGAGTTATTGAAACTCATGGCAACACACAGAGCAAAGTACAACAAAATAATACTATTTCAATTTGGATTCATTCAAATCTGTTTGCTCCTTCCACAGGATGAAGAGCAAAAGTAAGGAGTCAGTTCTGCTGGAGGGCGAAAAGGAGAAATACACACTACTTGTTCCCTCACTGGACTTGAGTCTGGAGGACTCCTCTCTCGACCCGGAGCTGGAATGTCATAGCCCACCTCCAGACTATAACTATGTGGTCCGTTACTCCACACCACCCGTCTGAGTTGATCTCCACTCTTTAGTCGCCAGAAGTCTCACCCAGTTTTGGAGGATCTGATTGGTTGGGTCCATTTTGTCTCTGCACATTAGATCTGTTTTATATTTTCCCCCACTTCTTTCCATTCCACTTTATCCTGATACTGGACTGGTCATTCAGAGTTTCACATTTTCTCTTTCTGTGCACTTTTTCAAGGTAGTGTGTGAGTACAGTGGGCTGCCACTTATATCACCTCAGATATTCCTGCTGTCTACTGTGAACACAAACAAGCTCATTTTATTACAATAACGGCACTGTTTTCCCCAGTGAAATTGCATTTTTCATACAGAATGGTGGCTAATTATGAAATGTTCAGTGGTTAGAATGAGGACAAAGGCAATTCTTATTTTATTCTAGATAAATATTTTATTGTAATGAAAACTGGAATTTTGGTTATATGATATTTTATTTTTATTTTGCTAAAATTATTTCAGAGCTCACTAAATCTCTTTTTTTTTTTTTAGGAAAATATTTTTCTTTAGAATAAATTTCACTCATATTTTACTCTGTCAGACAAACTGGCAAACAAAGACCACAGATCATGAATAATTGAATGTGTGGTCTGAAATTCCTTCCCAGAAATTGCAGGACACATTGATCATCAACACAAAGGATGCACATTGTGTTTCCAGGTTCTTTCACACCAGTCTGAGGGCCGCTTTCCTGAGTCTTGCTCATTGAAGCTAAAATGAATCACTTTTGCTCCCGCATATAGTATTTTTATCATCATAGCTTTTAATCTGGATCATTTTAAAGGAATTAGCCAAGCTTAATATCTTGGACTGCTTACATATGGCAGGACAGAATGGCTTATGGGTGCCTAACATCCAGTCTATCACTGTGAAAAAGGTTTCAAAAGCCTTAGCAAGTAAATTATTCATGCACATTTAATAGGAAACATTCTGTTAATTATTGATCAAATTTGGACCACAATTAAACAGCCTTTCTCTGTTCAACAATAGTTACACTGCGTTGTGTACTTTCCATATTCATGTTGTTTACACTACTGTATACATAACAGCACGTAATATGTTGTGCAGCTATTAACCAGAGGAACACATTCTGTTACTGATTCAGTAGTCTTTTATGCTAAAATACTACTAAAGCTTGCAGGGCAGGCTATAATATTGTCAACAGGCTGGTCACTATATAAATGGTCATGATAATTATAGTAAAAGCATGTGCACACATGTAGGTGCTATCAGTATTAACTCCTTAACATTATGGAATGGGTGGGAAATCATTGTATTGGTTCAATCAGATCTGACAGTTTTAAAAGCAATTAGACTAATATCTAATATAATAGATCAAATATCTGACCGTTATTGCTAATTATTGTTTCAAGTCCAAGTACTACATTCATAGCTGAGGGACTGTCTTCCAAATAATGAAATGTATATACTGCCAAATGATGCTTTCAATAATGTTGTTATTTTGACTGACTGGTATTTGTGAAGTAGAATTGTATGCACTGATATTTTCTACATACATTTTTTTGTATTATACTTGTATTTTAATATTAACCAAGCATAAATAAAGATCTTTATATTTATATATAGCACCTTTTCAGAGTCATGATTGCATTTGTACAAGTACATGCCTGTATATTGTAGCTACTGCTACTAATAAATAAAAATGCACAGAAATAACAATGCCAATGGTTCGCCTGCCAAGTATTGCATTCTTCTTCCTATAGCATGATTTCCTATAGGTCTATACATAATTCCAGTAAGGTTAGGCTAAGTATTATACGATTCTTGGTGGAGATGGTTGGGCTGTGTGTCATCTGTGCGCTCTTTTTCCTGCTTCTTAGTCACAGAGACACATTTCCTGAACGGGGCGAGGTGACGGCAGTCTGTCTGTCACCAGGACGATACCTCTGTGACTGTGAGCAAGAAAAGGAAGGGCTTCTCCATCATTCCCATCACAACAGGGTTCTAAACACTAAACTTCCTAAGGGCCAACAGTGCCCCCCAGCTTTGGCACTAAAACGCTATGGGTGCATATTGTTGCCGTTTCTGCTTGTCATATTGAAGATAAACAGTGTTTACGGTACACTTAAAAGCTCACTTGATTGAGGATTGGCGTTGTGTTATTGGCTTGCTATGAAGGTTATGAGACATGTAAACTGATTCAGGAATTAAAGCTATAAACAAACAAGGGAAGGATGTTGGGAGGGTAAGGGTTCATCATATTCTGGCTACAAGCACAAACGTGGTATTCACGCACACCTCATATTTTTCTAAGCTCACAGGAAGTACATACGGTCTCAGAGCTCTGCAGCTAATCAGAGTTTTCAATTTCCCTTGCTCTAAATGAATATGAACATTACGTGATCATGCATAATTTCCTACAATACTTTCTCCATTTTATTAACCAAGAAAAAGTACTAAATAACACATTTACATTAATATATGTGTACTATATATCTATCTATCTATCTATACACTATCCAAAAGTCTGGGGTCCAAAAGTCTTTTTTTTTTTTTTTTAAGAAATTAATACTTTTATTCAGCAAGGACACGTTCAATTGATCAAAGTGACAGTAAAGGCATTTACAATGTCACAAAAAAACTGTTCTTTTGTACTTTCTATTCATCAAAGAATCCTGAAAAAAATGTATCATGGTTTCCACAAAATATGAAGCTACACAACTGTTTTTAACATTGATAATAATAATAACAAATGTTTCTTGAGTTATGTTAAATTGTAATAGTATTTCACAATGTACCTGTTTTTACTGAATTTTATCAAATAAATGCAACTTTAGTGAGTATGAGACTTCTATCAAAAACTTTTTGTAAAAAATCTTACCATCCCCAATTTTTGAATGGTAATGTACTGTATATATAGACAGTCAATGTTATAAACTGTACCAGAGGATTTTCCACCCCCTATATGACATGGATTGTGAATTGCAGTCTTTGTCTAACTTCATAGTTTATAATGGAATCTTCTAAAATTATCTCTGAGAAAAAACATCACGTACGCATCTAATTAAAGGCTCTCTCCTATTGGGACGGTTTTGTTTTTCTTGTTCAACAATGTGTAAATCCCGTTGCCACTTCCAGAGTCCCTTCTCAAGGAAAATAGCCCCTGGTGGCAATATATTTCATTAATCACTAAAACAGAGGTGGTATATTTTGGCCTTTGGGAGTCTGCCAAAACTCATTCCTGCAATCAGTGACAAACCAGAATGCCTTGAAATCCTATCATACCCCATTCTGCTTTCTCTGTACAATTCCCAGAGTGCTCTTCCCTCTGCTTGCACTTCCCACGCTGTGTTCTGGTGAGGGAGTGCAGGGAATGGCAGGATCGGGGTTGGGGGGGAACCGCATCCGTATACCTCTCACCTACAGCCTGAGACAATGGGGTGGACTTCACTTACCACAGATATGGCTTTTGCCCACCTTTTCCCAGAAAGGTAGCACCAAAAATACAAATAGCATCCAACTCCCATGATGCCCAAGGGCTGAGTCAAAGAGTTCTGACTAAATCACACAGACTGTTTGTCTTAAAAATAGTTGTCTTAGACTTTGACCTTCAGATCAAAGTAAATTATTTTTGTCCCCACAGGGTTCCAGTGACTAAAAAGGAACTGTTTATAATCTGTCAAGAATTCTGTCATTGAAAACAATTCAGAAATATCTGATCTACAGTGCTATGGGAACTCTGGACTCAAAACTGCCCAAGCACTGAACCAAAGACCGTCTAAAAGACACTGTATGCTACTTGACAGGTTAACTAAATATTCTCCTGGTTATTGTTGTAAAGAAAAACAAGATGGGATTACTGATGATTAACTCATAAATGATGAATGGTAATTCAAAACTGTTGCAAATGTTGGTAAAGTGGGAAAAGCTTTAAGAATGAACTCAATTGATGGGGGTCTGTGGTTGTATCTGACAGAACCCCCAGAAAAAGTCAACAGTCAATTTGAACCAAACAACTAAGATCTCACCAGTAATATCCATCCATACTGCCTTCATAGTCTTTCCATGAATATATGAACATTTATGCCACTGCTCTTGTTTCAGATACACTTGTCTTAGAGCAACTGTTCTGTTTTGGAATTCGTTGGATACAGAAATTTGTAGCCATAGTATTTTAAAAATAAAAGTTTGAGGAAATTCTTCAACAAATCTTCTCATGACATTTATTCATTTCAGATTTCACACAGGAGAATTAAAACCTAGGGAATTACTGCAATAAAGTCTCTGTGAGAAAAGCAAACATTGTGTAATGATTAGGCTATTTCTAACATTTCTGAAATAGCACATAGTTCCAAAAAAAACATTTAAACTCGACTTCCTAGTAAATATAAATGTAGCAATATTCTTATGAACAGTATTATGACCTAATACTCATTGTGGAAATAAAAAGAGAAAACATATGATTCATACTTTCAACTATTTTGAGTACAATCTGTCCCCAAACCATCATACATTTGGGACACACATGTCATTATTTTGAAGTTTCCAAGTAAGTTGTAAATCTGTCATGCTGAGAGCATCTCTGCCCTCAGATAAAGCATTCTTCCTTTAGACAGAAGAGAACGGAATCCTTTCCATTATAAAAACTGTGCACAAACAGAACCTTATCCTTTTTTTTAAATACATTCCCATCCTTATTTAAGACTCACAAACTTTTAACGTGACGATAATATACAAATAAATAAATAATAAATTAGATTTGCCATTTTATTATTACTACTAAGAGAGAGTGTTATTTCTCTCTCTCTCTCTCTCTCTCTTAGCAATTCTTATGCATTCATAAGCTTAGTCTAAACAACTTACTCATTTGTTTTTGTTTATGTACAAGAACATAGTCAGTGACATTACCGCTAACGCATTTGTCATCTAAACAACGGTCAGGCCAATGCCACACGTCACACCATATCTAATTTTCATACTGATAATGAATAACGAATAGCAATGTCACAACATTAGGCAACTATGTAACAGAAATGTATCTGATTATATGTCACATACAATCATTGCAAGTAATTCACATATATTCACAGAAATGTGATCCGAAGAAGCGACGCAAACAAATTACTTGGTGGATACTGCCCTCTAGAGGTCATTATGTAATGGTGCTGATTAATTTATAACTAAATCTCAAGATCATTCTTCATTTCATTAAAAAGGGAAAGAATGTAAAAATAACGTGTTGTACTATAAATGTCAGAAAATGTGTCATAAAAAGGTGTCCGTCGAAACTACGTTTTAAGTCGCTGTTGCAGCTGATTGACCAGCAGGGGGCGTCGCTGCGCTGTGCTTTGAGTCTCCAAACCAGGGGTGCCCAAACTCGGTCCTGGAGGGCCGGTGTCCTGCAGAGTTTAGCTCCAACCCTAATTAAACACACCTGAAGCTAATC